TCTTGTCCAGTCCAGTTTTTCTATGATTTTATTGCACGTGTTACTGCTGTACTTAGATTATATTTGTAAGCAATAGAAAAGAGGCCTTGAGCATATTATATGTGCCATTTTGGCAATTTATAAAAATGTAACTAAATAATTTAGGGCACTAAGTTTCTTTCTTTTACCTGCAAATCTGTTTTACTAGACCTTTTTCTAGTTTACTGCCTGATAGCTGTTTAACCTATGGAGCAGACAGTGTCTTTTGTTCTCTTTTATCTTCCCACATATATCCCATTTGATCTTCTGCTCTGAAAAGGGGAATGTAGGCCCGCCTGGCCTCGAACATCTTGCTCCGTGCCTCTTTGGTTCGGGTACTCACTGGGATCTGCCCTGCCGTCGCAGGTGGTCTTCCGAGGAGGTCTTTACACATGACGCAGATCACCCCTTTCTTGCCTGCCACGACTTTGAATCTTCTTCAGTGGGGGGGCTCAGTACTGCGGCTCCACCTCCCCTCTACCTCACCCTATACCCAGCCTGACGGGTCACTGTCGATCCTGTGGCCGATCTTGTGCACCACGAGTGTCTTTCAATCAATAAGCGTACAGCCCCTTATTCTTTTTTCCTCGCTTCCCTCCGCCTCAGCCCCTTCCGGCATGGGGAAACACAAGATGCTCTAAAGCAAAAAGAAAAACGCAAGAAAACCACCACTGACACCGTGCACTCTGTGTGCGCCCAAGATACACCCCGTGCTCCTATTTGACCGCTAGGGTCCTTCTTTGTTCACCTAGCCCCATGGCTTGGTCCCTACAGACCTGGCTATCGTTGCCCTCTCTCTGGGCCTTTATAATGTCTTCGCCCTCTCTCTGGGCCTTTCGGTGTCATTGCTCTCTCTCCAGGCCTTCAGTATCGTCACCCTCTCTCTGGGCTTTCACAATAGTGGTGCTCCCCTTCCCTGGGGCTCCTCAGTGATACTGCCCTCTCTGGGCCTTCACAACACTGCAGCCCTCTCTCTGGGCCTTCACAATAATACTGCCCTCTTTCTGGGCTTTCACAATAATGCTGCCCTCTCTCTGGGGCTTTGCAGTAAGGCTGCCCTCTCTCTGGGGCTTCACAACGTTGCCCCTCTCTCTGGGGCATCTCCTCAGATACTCTGGGTCCCTCCACCGTCCCACCTGTTTGGAAGCTGGAAGGAGGGCCAGTGCCTCCCCTTTCTCCGTGGGGACTGCTAGTCCCGGAGTTTCTCCGGCTTCTGTCTCCTTCACCTGCCTTTCCCTGCACCGGAGCTCCTGCCCTAAGCGCAGGTTTGTCTTCGCCACTGCTGACGGCTTCTCCCTTGCCGCGTGAGGTGTCGGATCCGCCTCTGTTGGGGATCGCTGTCTCTCACTCCACACCATACTTCCAGCTGACTCCCCCAGCTGGGATTCCTCCCAGCGTCCGCCCCCCTCGCCTCTCTGTGGGCCGTCCTTTTTATCTCTGCCAGCCGGTAATTGCTGCTGATGTCACCAGCTGGCCGCGGATGGATGAAAGCATGGCTAATGGCTCATGCAGGCTTTTCCCGGTGTTCCTGCTTTGCCTCAGGTCTTGCTGCAAGTAAGTGTTCTTTTTTACTTTTGGTTTTTCTGTTCCTCCCCCGTTTTCTGGCCCCGGGGATCCCCCCTTGGGCTTTGGGGTCTCCCCCCATTTGTCTCTCCCTGTGACAGGCTTAAATACCAATGAAAATGGTATGGTTTGTGTTGAGTTTCCTCAATGAAGAATCCCCACTATAACCTTTAAGAAAATTGTGAGAAAAGAGAGTAATCGCTACAGTAGAGAAGCAGACCTTGTATCTCTTCCATCCTCACAAGAGATCAAAGAGCTGCTGAGAGCGGAGCAGAGACTGGGCAGCTGATGAGTAGGAAGCCCATTCATAAGAACTGGCTTTTACTGTTAATGAGTCCATTGGGCAAGAGGGACACTCCACAATACCCACCTCCTCTCCTATTTATCCAATTTATACTTTTTTTCCCCTCTTGTCCCCCTACAGTGCCTCAGAAACCAGGGGGACATGCATACTTCTTCTCTCTCTCTCTTCCCCTACCTTATTCACATTAATAAACACTTATCTCCCCTTCATATATTCACATAACTCCTTTTGATCTTATAAACTCCAATACAAAGAGAGAACAACATATAAGCCTGAATGTTTAAAAACTGAAGGCCCTGCTACATGTTTAAATTAAACCAGCTATAGAGTTGCTATACATTTTCAAGTACAAATTTAGTAGATGGTTGGCTCTTTTTTATAGCTGGACAGTCATTCTTATCATGAGATAATTACTTTGCAGGTGTAGCTGCAAAGTAATTATCTAAATTGACCAGTTAATTTATTAATATATGTAACATGTAGCAGGGGCCTGTGTGTGTCAGTTTGGTATCTTTTTAGCCTGAGAGATTTTGGATAGTTCTTTGCCATGAACCATCATTGCATTTCGGATAACTTACTAATTCTGATTAAAATAGATTATTATTGCACAAACTTAATAAACTCCAATAACTTCCTAAGATAGTGGCTTTTTAGGTTATTTAAGTCTCTACTAAATATCACATTCCAAATGAGACAAATGGAAAAGAATCTGTGTACCCAATCCTAAAGGCTGGAAGTCAAAAACATTTGATGAGAGTAAGAATTTCAGGATCATGCCCTGCATTAGGCCTCTAGATCTAAATATTAATTTATTACCGGAATTACAGGCATAACTCTATTTATTTATTTATTTATAGCTATATCAGTAAATGTTGAATCAGATATTTATAGCTCATCTATTTTATTATTACACTTCTGAGATTAAAAGTTATAAGCTGGAAATAACAAATGTAGGTACACAAATTATGTTACTTATGAGCCAAATAACAACACACAATAAGCGACTGCGTATTTTTTTCCAATGAATAGAAATACTAGCTGCATCCCTCTCCATAACCTGATGTGTGATCTGTATGGCAAAAATACCTCAAACAAGACACAAAAATAGGTACGGAAATTTTGTATTTCATGGAATCTATTCTTTATCTTTAAAAAAGATCTGCAATAAAAGCACATACAAACATTTGCAATTCAACATATCTGATGTGAAAGATAATAGAAGTGAGATCACAGCAACATATCTGTCTAAAATAAGGGGTACCCCTTATAAAAGAGGAATCTGGAAAGTCATCCCTTTTCTTTTGTTGGACTAACCGAACAAAAGAATGAAGCAAATTTGTTATACTCATTATTTTATTGCAACATATTTGTTCTCCTAGTTGGAACTTTGTCTTTGGGCAATTCACACTATCTACCTTATTCAGTTAACTAAGGTACCTTAGAACAAAAGTAACAAGAACTGCTGCAGTCAGCACGCAAAGATCTTTTGTGGTCTTCTTTTCCTAATATGGTATTTTCTATTTCTTGACTTAATACCCTTTTTTGGTCATTAATTTATCTCAAAATTCTAATATAATCAGAGGCTTAGTACTTCCATCTGTCTGTCCATAATGCTGGAGGCCAACTACATATGCGCTGCAGAGAGGGTGGGCAGCAATTGGCTGCACGGGCCCGACCCCTCAGGCAGGGAGCAGGAGGTGGAGGGAACCCTTAGGCTTTAAAACTATTGACTTGCCCCAGCTCCTGTCAAAGCTGATAGGAGACAGGGCAGTAGGACCCAGGAGGAGCCTCAGCAGGACTGAGGAACCCAGCCCACCCTGCCCCCAGCAATTGCACTCCCTGCCTACCAGCACTGTCCATACCATGTGGCCTGGCTAAATCACCAGAGTGGGAAGCATGGAGCCGTGGATAGGGTATTTCTGGTGTGGGTGTGTGTTGTGGGGGGGTGTGATGCAGGTATGTGTAGGGTGTGTGTTATGTGTGCAGCCAGAGGCAGCATGGGTGGGTGGGTGTGGGTGTGCAGCCAGGGGCAGCATGGGTGTGTGTGTATGTGTGCAGCCAGGGACAGAGTGGGTGAGTGGGTTTGGTTGTGGACCCATGGGCAGAGTGGGTGGGTGGGTGTGGGTGTGCAGCCAGGGGCAGAGTGGGTGGGAGTGTGTTCATAGGATGAGTCCCACATGCACTCCCAACCATACACATGCACCCACACTCCCCTTGCACTGTCATACATGCACACCCCCTCACATAGCCCAGGCATCCTCCCCCCACACACCACCTCCCACAAACCCCACACCCACCCACATCCCCTCCACATGCTCCCTCACCCCACATACCCACAGCCCCCCACAAACCTATATGCACCCCTCACAATATTCAAGAGTAAAACTTTATTTCCGGGGGCAAGGGGATGGACTTCTGGTGGCAAAGGTCAGGGTTTAGGGGGCAGGACTTCCATCACAAGATGGTGACCAGGGGGTGGGGCACCTGCCAGGGAACTGAGCTACCCATGCAGCCTTTGACAGCTTGCCAAAACATGGTAAGTGGCCCTCCGCCCAAAATAATTGCCTGCCCCTGGTTTAAGTGGCCGTCCCCAAAGGGTGTGTTGTGGGGGGCATGTATGCTCTCCCTGAAATGCTCCGTCATTCATGTTGGGCAATTGGCTAGTAGACGATAAACTTCTCTGACACATTTTCAACTAACTGTTTAGAAATGGCGGGATGGATGCTACAATGTCTTATGATGCTTGGATAATTAAGTTGCCACCAGTTTCTGAAGCACGTATATTTGGATTCAAGGTTTTGGCACAGTTTATTATGTGGCTAGCAGCCAATTTCAAAATTTCAGAACTGGATTGCAGTTCCCTCCACATTTGAGCTTTTTTTTAGGCTGGTATTTTATTTCAAACTTATCTCCAATTACTTATTATTTGCTACATGCTAACTATGTGTGAGGCAATGCATAAACATTTGAAAGCAGAGACTTTGCCCTTGTGAACTTAGGCTGAATGCAAAGAAAAGTTTTATACAGGGCACTTTGCAATAGGTAAACAGTACACAGCTTCATCTTTTTTTAAAAACACACTGTGGCGGGGATGCCGCCATGAGCCAAAGCTTACCTCTGGTGCTGGAGCAGAGGGAAAAGTGGTGGCCGCAGAACGCTGCTGAAGATCAAAGGCATAATGGTAGAGATGCCGCCATCAGAAGACAAGCGGTGCCAGTGTAGGAGTGGCGGGGGAAAGGGGCACAAAATGTTGAAGCCCAAACGTGCTCCTCCATGCCAGCATGGGCACGCTTTGTGGATGTGTCCCGATGTCGATTTGCTGGGTGTCCCTCAGAAAGAGGGATAAAATCCCCACCAGACAATGTCCAAGAAGGACCAGAAGTGAGGCCTCCTGAGAGCCCAGAGCAGCAGGAAGTGAATGAATACCCTGACAGGGGAGAGTGGTAACAACGTCAAGAGTTGGGGTGCCCAGCTAAGGCTGGCTCAGAGGAGCCAGAACACGTACCTCTCACAAAGTCATGGATCCCAGATGAAGCTGATAGAGACTGGGACAGTGGTGAGCCTGCAGAGAGAGGAAAAGAGGAAGGATATTAAAAGCCATGAGTAACCCCTGGAGAGGGAATGAGCCCTGAAGGATGGAGCCCTGGGGTACATGCAACGACAAGTCAGGCTGACGTGAAGCTTGAACAAGGACAGTACACTGTCCGAACTGGGATTGAGATTAGATAGGGGCTAAGGCCCAGCCGTGGCTGATTGACATTGAGTTAGCCTCAGCCAAGACCTGACATCATCTCTGGTTGGCATATGGTGGGGTGTAGGGGAGGCAGAGCCCCGAGACAAAGACCTAAGCGAGAGATAGAAGAGGGAACCAGGAAAGGCAGGACATGAGAACTTCCTCCTAGCAATAATCCTTAACGTCAAGTTGTGGCAGACAAGAACCCCTGGGGACCTTAGAGACTCCCACTAGAGGGCAAGCTGTCAACCCACAAGGAGACAGTGGCACCCAATTCGCCTGAAAAGGCAAAATGCTCAAGCAGATGCCATGGGAAATTACATGCACCCATTAAAATAAATTATTGTAATAAAAGTCAATGAATAGGTCCTTTAAGGAGGGATCTAAAGAAAGTTTATACTTGGCAGTTGGATCTAAAATCCAAATAAAGATGCTTAATTTTAAGCATGTAGTTAACTCATATTACATATGAGTTAAGAGCATACATAAATGCTGACCTAACTAGGGATGCTTTCTCAATTGAGGCTTTAGGGTAAAAGAAAAAAAAAGATCACGGAAAAGAAAATTCTCTTTGGGGTAATAAAATGTCAGTTACAGTTGCATACTATACTGGAGTTCCATCATTATGACAAGAACTTCTTTCCAGGTTCGGACTACATCTAGTGTCAAGGTAGCCATTTTTCTCTATTAAAAAGTAAACAGAGCTTCCTCCATCTAAGATGATGCTATTGTAGTCTTGTCACGAGAGACTGAACTGAAGGTTCATCTCTGGCCTTAAAGGTGCCATATATACAACAAGTGGACGATGCAAACAATCGTATAACATATCAGATGTGATATATAATAGCGTGTCTAAATGTTTGCTGAATCAGTTCCATGTTTAATTACTGTAATTAAGAAAGAGCCCACCTTGATTTTCACCATTTTTATCATGATTTAAAATTGATAGCTTTGCTAATTGGGATTCAATAAGCATAGAACACCTGATGCTATTCTCTCTGTACATTATGGCAATGGAAAAAGTATTATACAAGAAATTAGTTTATAAAAATATAAGGGCTGTGATTTGGTATGTGATTCTAAGCTCTTGATACCTTTGTGAAAGAATCATCCAAAAACTTTTCACTATGCACAAGAAACAAGAGTATAAGTTTTGTAACATGTTATACACGTGTTCTTTTAATCAAACACATTCTTATTTTCAAGTGTCTTTCAAGTATCTATTTTTCTAATTGTTTACTATAGTTTTCTAATACTCCATAGTCTGTGCTTACTCTTCTGTCCTCTGTAAGCCCTGCTGTCTATCCTGGTTTCACTCTTTTGTTCTGGCATGCATAATTACATTCTGTTCTGCAAAATGAGCAATAATATGTGCAGGGATGTGAAATTATCATTTAAAACGTTTTTCTTTTGCTAGAGTTATTTCATTCCAGATTCTTCTTTCTCTTAAGAGTCTCTCCTTCAAGAAACTTTACAAAACAAAGGAAAATCAGAATGTGTGAAGTGTCTTGATTATGAGCCATATTAATGGAAGGGAGATACTGGATAAGGGTCCAAACAAATGCCATGGTGCAGAGCATTCACAAAATTTAAACTGTTCAAACTCCAGATGTAAATCTAATTTTAAAGTAACAACCTGTTTCCGAAAATACACAAACAGTTTGATTTTACTGTTGCTTGTTTTTTAAGCTGGGCTTTTAAAAATTTTCTTGAATGGAAAATGAGATTCTATTAACAATGTTAGTTAAGTTTCAGACCATGGCAATGTCTATTTTTTAAAACGTTTTCATGCACATAAATTGCTTAGCTGCCTGCACATGCTGCTATTGATTGCTGACTTCAAATGCAAGTCTGCTTTCTACTCAGTTACCAACTGTGTATTACAGAATTACCTGCTACGGTCATCTTAGGTTATATTCAAAGTGATAAAACCTTAATGCAGTAAGGGATCAAGAAATTACATCATTTTTTAATTTCTATTTTCTCATTTCTATTATCTACAGACAAATGCCATCAACGTTCATATAAGAAATACTTTTTTAAACACTCTAATTCTGTCATATTTACTTAAAAGCATCAGGCAGCTAAATTCTAAACCTGTCAAAGATATTACTGAAAATACCTTTCTACTGAAAAAATCTTATTAAATTAATAATATTGTGGACCTTACTAAAATTTACTAGAATTTATGAAGGGCACAGAATCTATAGTTCTATATCTGATAATTCTCCCCAGAGAACTTTCCAAAAAAAAAAAAAAAGGGAAATGTTTTTAATGATTTACAATCAAATGAATTATATTACCCTTTTTGCTCATTAACAGTGAACCAAATACTATCAAGAGCCCTAACGGGTCTACCGGTAATCTGTCTAATCTAAACTACAGGTTTCCCTTGATTTATGCGGGTTTGATTTATGCAAATTCACTCTTATGCAATGACCCTTTTGTACCTGAAATTCGTTATATGTGAGGTAAATTCACGTATATGCGATTCATATGTGATCAGTATAGGCATACTCTGCCCTCCCCCAAGCAGGTAAGTCTGAGTTTGTGAGGGGAGGGGAAAGAGCTGTGAGT